CGAGCCCCCCCCACCCCTCGAAAACTGGTGGGGGTCACTACCGGTTCGACCCCCCCCCTTCGAAAACCGGGGGGGGTCACTACCTGTTCGAACCCCTCACCGCCAGCAAACAACTCTGGGCCCCTACCACCGTCCGCACCACATCCCCCACTGCTGTTCCCAGCAACAATGTCCTCACAACCACTGTCCCCACTGTTCCCACCACCGTCACCACTGTCCTCACCAGTGCCCCCACCACTGTCGCACTGTCCCCACTGTCCCCACCACTGTTCCCACCACGGTTCCACTCCCCACTTTCTCCACGGCCCCAACCACTGTCCCACTGTCCCCACTGTCCCACTGTCCCACTGTCCCCGCCGCTGTCCCACTGAGCTGTCCCACTGTTCCCACCACTAGCCCCACTGTCCCCACCAGTCCCTACTGTACCTCTGTCCCATTATCCCACCACCGTCCTCGCCACCGCCCTCACCACTGTCGCCACCATCACTGTACCCTCCACTGTCCCACTGTTTCCACCACATTCCCACTGTCCCCACACCACTGTCCCCACCACCACCGTCCCCACCACTGTCCCACTGTCCCCACTGTTCCCCCCATTGTCCCCGCTGTCCCCACCAGTGCCCCCCCCACCAGTGTCTCACTGTCCCTACTCTCCCCGCCATTGTCCCACCACAATCCCACTCTCCCCACTTTCCCCACGGTCCCCACCACTCTCCCACTGTCCCCACTGTGCCCACCACTGTTCCAGTCCCCGCCGCTGTCCCACTGTGCTGCCCCACCGTCCCCACTGTCCCCATCACTGTCCCACTGTCCCCACTGTCCCCACCACTTTCCCCACTGTATTACTGTCCCACCACTGTCCTCACCACCGCCTTCACCACTGTCCCCACCACTACCGTCCCCACCACTGTCCCAATGTCCCCACCACTGTCCCGCTGTCCCCTCACCACTGTCCCCACGACCACCGTCCCCACCACTGTCCGCACCACTGTCCAACTGTCCACGCACCACTGTCCCCACCACCAACGTTCCCACCACTGTCCCAACATCCCCACCATTCTCCAACTGTCCAGAAGAGCGGGCATCGTTTGCCGGCGGCGAGGGGGGGGGGTCCGAACCGGTATTACGAACCCCCCCGGTTTTCGAGTTTCGAGGGGAGGGGGTTCGAAGCGGTAGTGACCCCCATCCGGTTCTCGAGGGGGGGGGGGGTCGAACCGGTAGTGACCCCCCCCTTATTCATATGGACTGGGGTGGGGGTCGAAGGGTGTATCCCCCCCCCCACCGTTATTCGCGGGGGGGGGGCGGGTTAGGAACCCCCAGTGACCCCCCCCGGTTTTCCGCCAGTAGCTGTAGAACACGCTCTTTCCGATCACCAGATCTTTCAGTCAGGACTGGCCGATGGGCCGCCCGTGGAGGGCTCGCTGTCGCGGCGGTACGGCACGAGCCTACCACACGGCGGTGCAGCCTCCTGCGGCCGTCGTCTCTGTCCTCGGCGCCCCGAGGTACGGAGTGGAGCGTCCTTTGAGCTCTCTATGCACAAACCCCCCAATTGCAGGAAATTCAGGGCGCCTCGTGGGATCCCCGCACGGCTTTTGCAGAGGCCTCGGGAGCGTGGCCTGGAACCCACACGGTCCCGAAGGCGACCGTTCTGGGCCTCCCTTGAGGGCTTCTGGGGCCACCTTGGAGGCCCCAGGAGCCGCCCCAGGAGGCTGAAATCCTCCACGACTGCAGCGCCGAATGTGCTGGCCAAAAATCGCCCAAGACGGCCAAAGAGCCCACCGAGATCTCTCAAAAAGGGGTCCAAGAGAGTCAAAGAGCACCAGGAGGGGGAACCTGAACTGGCACGTGGAGCCCTCCACCCCAAGATGACCCCCCCAGTCCGACAGCATCCAACCAGGGGCCCCCGAGGGGCTCCCAGGGAGCCCTCGGGCGGCCGCAAAAAGATGCTCGGACGATGCCCCCAAGAGGCCCCCAAGAGGCCTACACACGAAACTCCCAAGACGCCCTCCAAGAAACCCCAGGATGCCTCTGCGAGGCCTCTGACACTTCTCGCACACCGCCCAGCACACCGCCAAGGCACGGTGGCGGCATGAGCCGAAAGCCGCTAGATCCGCCGCCCCCTGTTGGCTTGCCAAAGTGGTGCCTGGCGTGCTAAATCCAATACGGCTTGGTTTGGGGTTTTTCCAGGAAAACTCACTCCCCCTGGGGCGTCGGCTCATTGCGCCGACCACCCAGAAACAAACTGGAAACAGCCTCAACATCTGCAAAATCCCTCAAGACGACTCCAGATAGCCTCTCCGACGGCCAAGATGTCTCATGGTGGCCTCCAAGATGCTTCCAAGACGGCCAAGACGGCCCCAAGAGACCATGGCATGGCCAAAGATGCACCCAAGAAAGCCCAAGATGGCCTCAAGACGGCTCAAGAGGCCTCCAAGAGGTCCTCCAGGAGGGCCCGAAGAGGCCAAAAGCATTGATGGACTTAGGTTTTGAAGGATTTTGTACTTTGCTTCGTTTCGGCCTTCCGACGGCCCAAGACGGCCCAAGAGGGCCCCAAGATCGCCCCAAGATGGCCCCTTATGCCTCCAAGATGACCCCATGACGACCCAAGGAGGAGCCTACAAGAGGGCCCCAAGAGGGCCCCAAAACGGCCCAAAAGGCCTCCAGGCCTCCAAGACGGCCCTGAAGCGCCCAAAGAGGGCCCCAAGTCGGTCCAGAGAGGCCCCCGGGACGGCTTTACACAGCGTCAGACGGGCCAGGAACGCCCGAAGACTGCCAAAGAGGCCCCCAAGGAGCTGCATAAGAGCCCCAAGTAGGCTTCCAAGAGGCCTCCGAGAGGCCCACCAGAAGCTCCCAGAAGACCCCGAGAGCCCTCCTCCTCCTCCTCCTCCTTCTCCTCCTCCTCCTCTGACTTCTCCTCAACCTCCTCAGCCTCCTCTTCTTTCTCCGTCTTCCTCCTCCTCCTCCTCCTCCTCCTCCTCCTCCTCCTCCTCCTCCTGCTCCTCCTCCATCTCATCCTCCTCTCTACGTGTCTTCCCTCTCCTCCACTTCTTCTTTCTCCCCGAGTGCTCCCCGTAGGTTTCCACAACCGCTGGGGGAACACATGGTCGGATAGCTTGGCAGAGCTCTGGCCACAACGTTCGGCCACACATGGGCGATTCCAAAAGGCAGGGGGCGGCGGTGATTCGCCGCAGGCGTCTTCAATCCACCGCCCCTTGTTGATCCATCACAGGCGTGCCTAGCGTGCTGCACTTTTGGTTGTTGTTGCTTCTCTTGAAGACTCCAGCTGGGACTCCGGTCCATTGCGCCAGCCTACCGTAAGGACGCACAGACACCTTAACGTTACTCCTCCCAAGACGGCCCAAGATGGCCTCCAAGCTGGCCAAGATGGCCCAAAGATGGCCTCCAAGATGCCTTCAAGACGGCCAAGATGGCCCCAAGATGCACTCAAGACGACCCCAGATGCCCCGCAGACGGCCCAGGATGGCCTCAAGATGACCCAAGACAGCCCAAGAGGCCCCAAAGAGGCCTCCAACACGGCCCAGGAGGCCCCCACGAGAGCCTCCACAAAGACCCGAAGAGGGCCAAGATCATGTATCTTCCTACGGTTGTTGAAGGTTGGCATTTGCTTTTTGTTCGGCCTTCCGACGGCCCAAGACGGCCCAAAGGGCCCCAAGATCGACCCAAGATGGCCCCATAGGCCTCCAAGATGACCCCATGACGGCCCAAGAGGCCTCCAAGACGGCTCAAGAGGACCCCAAGACGGCCGAAGAGGCCCCCAAGACGTCCATTATACCTCCAAGATGGCCCTGAAGCGCCCCAAGAGAGCCCTAAGATGGCTCAGAGAGGCCCCCACGACGGCTTCCGACGGCGTCTTGGGGACAAGGAACGCCCTAAGACGGCCAAAGAGGCTCCCAAGAAATCCCCCAGCGGATTTCAAGAGGCATCCTAAAAGGCCTCCAAGAGGCCCCCAGGAAGCTCCCAAGCGGCCCCAAGAGTGCCCCAAGATGCTCCCAAGAGGCCTCCCCCTCCCCCTCCTCCTCCTCCTCCTCCTCCTCCTCCTCCTCCTCCTCATCATCATCATCAGCAGCAGCAGCAGCATCATCATCAGCATCATCATGTGTCATCCTTCTCCTCATCCTCTTCTTCCTTCCCCCATGTGTTTCCCAAAGGGTTTCCACAACGGCTGGGGAAACACATGGTGTGAGAGTTTGGCCAGACTTTGCCCGAACGTTTGACCACATAGGCGTATCCTAAAAGGCAGCGGGCGGCGGTGATTCGCCATAGGCGTCTTCGAAAACACTTCGGCAACGCCTTCAATGAGCTGGGCAGTTGCGCTGCCCCAGACTGTCTCATGTAAAGGAGCTGGCTACTTGGCTGAACACGCGATTCCAAGCGGGCAAACTCTTTGCCCTGACGTACACGCATCCCTGCCTTTGACCAAACCCTCGTGGAGACCATGTACCAGTGGCCACAGACGAACCCGCGTTGAGGCACACACACACTGGCTTCATCGCGAGGGCAGATCGTATCTCGAACACCTGCCGGCACGCGCACCTCGACAGAGCAGCACCCCGTCGAAAAGGGTGCTGCACGGGAGGCTCTCGGAGAATGCCCTGTGCTGCGCAAGGAACTGCGTATTCAGAAACAGACGTCATACCGCACGAATCGCGAGGAGTAAAGGGAGGCGAGACGAGACAGGAATCCAAACGACTCATATCGCGCGATTCGCGAGAAGGAAAGAGGCAGGAGCCAGGAGGGAGGAGCAAGTAGGAGGAGGGAGGAAGCCGAACAAATCATATCGCACCGTGCTCGAGGCGAAGGAGGGAGGAGCAAGAAAAGAGAGGGGAAGGGAGGAGAGAGCAGGGAGGACAGAACAGAGAGGAAAGAGAGAGGAGGGAGGAGGAAGAGAGAGAGAGGCAAGAAGGGAGGAGCGCGGCAACAGGGGGAGAGCATGTTAGGAGGGAGGGGAGGAGGGAGGGCAGTCGCTCCCCCTCGGGCTCCTCAATGAGAATGTCCTTCAGCCTCTGGCACGCGAGCTTAAGCAGGCGCTCGGGGAGGATGTCGTGCCTCGTCGAGAGCCTCCCGCGCGGCTGGGAGCGGGAAGGGACACGGGCGCGGAGGGAGGCACGAGGAGCA